AATAACCGTGTGGCTAGTACTAAATTACATGTTTTGGTTAACAGAACCCGCGTTTCCTTATGATGATTTTCTTGTATACTTGGGAGTAAAACTTGATAGGACTTTGACTTACAAACAGCACTTAGGAACCTTTAAAGATAAATTGAAAACACGGAATAATATAATTTCTAAACTGGCAGGAACAAGTTGGGGATATAAAGGAAACACAGAGAACATCAGCTCTAGTCTAATCTACATTAAAGCCGAAAATTGCGCTCCCGCATGGTCAAGAATCACATATAAGAAAATCGACACACAGATGAATCAAACAATGAGGATAATTTCAGGTACTGTAAAAAGTACACGAACTCATTGGTTATCAGTCTTAGCGCACATTGCTCCAACTAATTTAAAAATACAAGCAGCAACCTGTTCCCTAATATTTAAAATTAAAGCAAACCCTAACCTCCTAGCTAACGCAGATATCTTCAATCACCAAGCTAAATAACTGAAATCAAGAAACCTAGTCTGTGAATTTCTTGATACTGAATTGAACATAAAGAAACAGTGGTTAATGCAGTAGACGGAAGTCTTAGTCAACAAATCAGTACTTATCAAAGATTCTACTAAGGATTTATCTGGGTTCGAACTTTCAAGCACGATTTGGACAACAACTAACATAATTAGGACTGTGCATGGTACGTCATTTAATCTGCTTCATAAGTGGGGGATGACTGAGTCCCCGCTTTGTAATTGTGGAGAACTTCAGATGGTGAGACACATCGTAGAATCCTGCACACTGAGGAACCATAATAGAGGGGTGCTTGGAATTGACTTAGGTGGAAGTGCCGCAGATGAATGGTTGGCCAACTTGGATGTTCGACAGAAGATTGTTATTTTTAGTTACGAAGAACTTTTCTATACTTTTTATTTGTTACATATCCATCTATTTATTCATTTATTTATTTTTTTATTTTATTTTTTTTTATTATGCCGATTATACTAAATGCCGATAACTTAACCATATGTTAATATATTTTGAATAAAAGTTTTTTTTTTTTTTTTTTTTAATATTATTACTACCAAATTTAAATTACTAGTACTTATATGAATCAAAATATCTATATCTATAATATATGTATGCCTGTGTGTGTTAATAAGCAATTAAAAACGTATGTTACGTTAATGCTGCATTTGAAATCTTGCAGAATCATACATATATATATATACGAAGTAAGCGAAGTCGATTATGTTTATGAATAGCTATAAAAATCTATATGATTCCACAGATTTTGCGGAATCTTTCTTAACCGAGATAATAAATGATGTATCTACTCGTATGTTGAAAAGAGAATTCTTTAATAAAATTCTTTAAATTCAATTAACTAAAGAAAATGAAAATAATAATTACAGTAGGTCATTCTTGCGACTTAATAGGTACATAATTTTTTTCGTGCAATTGTATGAATACTGTATTCAAATTTTTACAGCGAATAGAAATTAAAGCTACCATGAAATATTTTCGACGAATCAAGGAACATTTAGCTTTTATTGAAGTACTCGTAATTTAAAATTAATCTAGTATGAAATATCTTTATGCTCATTTCAAATGTAATTTCATTCCGTTTTAATTCATTCAACTCATTGTATACACATGATCCTACATAACATTTTATCAATGAATATTCTAATCACGAATAATACATATGTATCCATTTTTTGTATTCCCTGTTGCATAAATTCTGCCGAAAGGTGTGCATATTATAATACTATCGTTGCATTTTTTTTTAGAAATGTTTTTTGTTTCTTTCATTGTACACGGACAAGCATTTTTCATACGTATTGACGTTACGTTTTCACTAAATTATTCATATACATCGTGTTACACACATATAATTATAGTTACTCACATAACGTGATGTGTATCTCAACGAATCACCAACAATTAACGACTAAATTTAATAAGATTGTTTGGGATGCCGGTTATTTGCTAGAATTTGGTCGGGCAACCACTTTTAAAGATGTGATGTTCACAATTTGAATTGGATAGGTGACCGAACATAAATATATACAACACGTTTAAATAATAAAATATATATTTTGACACAACTAGTGTGCGTACGTCGGGCGGTAAAGACGTCTCTTCCCGAGCGCGACTCGTAACAATAATAATAATAATAATAATTAATTTGAATAATGCCAAATTATCGGACGGCACATACGTCGCGGTGGGGCAGGGTATCGGCTACGACGGAGACTGCTATCAGCTGCGGCTGTGGCAAGGTCGGTGACACACACGTGAACAGGGGGTTGTGGCAGCGATGATAACAAAGGCGACGTTACGCAATGTATCGAACTATAATATAATATCTATCGAATTAATATAATCGACTAATAATAATAACAGTAATACGCTATCGGAATAGAAATAAATCATGCAACGAGTGCAACGGAATACAACAATGATTGCTGTGTGGGTTTGGATGAAACTTTATCGAAAATAATATACGACCCGACGTGACCAATGCACGGTCTGCTCACATGGAGAGTACGGCAACGACAGTCCCGGCTCAAAAGTCGCCGGTGGTAACTTGGCCAGAGCCGGCGTCCACGGGCCGCGCGATGTGCTTTTTCGCGGACCGGTTGCCACTGTCGCAATTAAAACGGCGGCAAATTTCGAACAAAGATATTCATCCATCATTATACGTCAATTAACTGCACCCAATAGTTGTTTCTGAAATAAATATTCATATTTACCTGCGCGCGTGTGTAATAATTCGAATAAAAAAGTAAGGACTGACCCCTAGATATTGCTTGTTGCATCTCGTTTATTCGGAAGAGAGTACGTGTATTATGTTTGTATTTATCATGTTTTATCTTGGCTGTAACGTAATAACGTTTGAAATGTTCAAATGTACACTCGCTTTATTTTACATTGTTTTGTTACTGCAAAAACTCATATAGACTATTTCAATCTATATGTATTTATAAATAGTTTGTGTATGTGTTGCAAGTTTTAAATAATCACCGGGTACCCTTTATAAGCACCCTTTTACGTAACTGTCAAAATAGGGTTTGCACTTCAACCACGTCTGTCCAGTCCTTGGTTCCATTACTTAATATAAGTCTTTACCGCAAAAACCATCGTTGTATTTACCAACCAAACATAAATAAAAAACGATTTATGAACTATACAACAGTCCGTTGTTTTTGTAACTTGTAAACTCTCCGAAGGTTCGAATATAATATAAATCTCGACAAGCAAATTCATTACACCCACATACTGCTATATGCAGTAAGAGCAGTATATAGTAGCAACTCTTATTTGTAGTGGTGGTGAATGATGATGGTAGTAGTAGCTTGTAGACTATTAAGTACTTAAAGTATTAGTGATAACTTACTCGTCTCGAAGAAACTTTATGCGCAATAAAGTTTATAAATTCTGTGTTAAAACGGGACCAGATGATGTAATGTCAACATTTATATGATTACAATTTCGAAATTTCTAAAAAAAAAATGAATATGCTCATGTGCATTTTTAGATATGGCTCAAGCTTATGATCAAATGTGGAACTCTGACCTCCTTTTTAAATTAAAAACCATTTTCCCGCCTTACTACTAACTGTTATTTAAATTATATCTTGAGCATAGACATTTTACTGTACGTTTAGGGTCAACTGTATCTGAAATAAATCTCATCAACGCTGGAGGCCCTCGGGGTGACCAAAAGTTTGCTATCTAGGTCTCCATCTGGACCAACAACTTACTTGAGCTCACTATGTCCATCCCAAACGAATTACTCTTAAAAACTAACTCCGGCAGCTGCAACTCCTCCTATTTTCCAAACAAACCAGTCTAAACAATACAATTATCCATTATATACTTATGTTGAAACCTATATGGTCATATGGTATACAATTCTAGGGTTTAGCCAAGTCTTCGAGTATTAATAAAATCCAAACGTTTCTATTTAAATGCTTCTGTCAAATTACAAATTCTTCTTTCCTTGTCTCAAATAACATACTTCATAATGATTTCACCACTTCAACAGTAAAATAAGTAGCAAAAACTCTCTATAAACGCTTCCACTCAAATCTATCCAACCATCACAATCCTTTACTTATATGTTCTCAAAATCCCAGGTGATCCTAGAAGACGATTGAATTACAAATGGTGCTGGAAATTTTAAATTATTAAAAACTATCCACTTTTATGAAGTTCTATCTTTGAATGGATTCTTCAATCAAGATTACAATTCGATCACCACTCTCATATCAATGATGCTCATTGTAGAAATATTTATTTACAGATTATATAACTCAATTTATAATTAAAATAAAAAATAGGTTATGATTATTTGCATATACAATTAAACATGTCACTATTGTTCTAAAGTTTTTACTTATATGATGGCTACAGCGAAGGGGAAGCACAATAACAGAGTATAATCATTTGTCCAAAATTATTTTTTTCCCAGCGCTTGCTGCCATGCTCGATAGAAACTCGTGATGTGTATAATATTTAGGTGTGTGCAGTGTAATAATGCATTTATTCTCATTAATGTGGCGGGCAGCAGATATTTTTTTGCCTAAAATTTGTGTCAGTCGTTAATAATGTCGCTTATTTATATATAATTTAGAATTAAACTCAAAAACGTGGAGAGAGAGAGAGAGAGAGGGGGGGGGAGAGAAAGGGACACAGGCAGAGATAGAGATATTTTCATACCAGAAAATGAGCATTGGCTTACACACACACACACACACACACACACACACACACACACACACACACA